TCTAGCTGTAAGAACCTGGCTGAAGTAGGCAATCGGCTGCTGATCATACATGAGCACTGCTCCCAATCTGTATCCTAATGTATTTGTCTTCTTACTGAATCTAAAAATGTTAATACTGGTACACTAATCATGACTCTCTCCAAATGCTCAAATGGTTTGTGTTGCTGCTTCCCCCCAATTGAAATTGTTTTTCTTCAAGTGCTCCGTCAATGGTCATGTTATAGCGCCATATCCTCTCACGAACTTCAGTAATAGTCTGTGAGTTCCAAGAATCCTCTCATCTCCTTGAAATTCTTCGGTAAGGTTCAATCAACCATAACTTCGATCTTGGACTGATCCACTGCTACCCACGTCATGGTCATCACATGTCCTAGTTAATCCACCTGTAACTAAGCAAAAGAACATTTTTTCAATTTAGCATACAATTGATGTTCCCTCAACATCTTCAAAACTGTCCTCAAGTGTCTCACATGCTCTATCTTTGTACTACTGTAGATCAGGATATCATCAAAGAAAACTAGGACAATTTTTTGGATACAAGGTTAAAAGTCCTTATTCAAGAGGGATTGAAATGTCGTCGGCCGTTGGTGAGGCCAAACGACGTCACTAAGAACTCGTGACGTCCTTCATGTGTCCTGAATGTTGTCTTGTGCACATCCGTTGACTTCATCCTAATCTGGCAGTACTATGACTTAAGGTCATTTTTTTAGGAAATGACTATCCCATAAAGCTCATCTTACGACTCATCAATCACAGGAATTAAAAACTTGTCCAGCATTGTTTCCTTGTTCAAAGCCCGGTAGTCCATGCAAAATCTTCAACTACCATATTTTTTCTTCGCCAATAGAACATGGCTAAAAAAAGGGCTCACATTAGCCTGATAATCCTAGCCTCAAGCATCTCCCACTTCAGCTTCTCTATCTCATCCTTATGAATGGACTGACGCTGATCGGAGAAACACCCTCATTCAATGTAATAACGTGTTCGTGCTCCCTCCAAGGTGGCAGCCCACTTTGCTACTAGAAAACATCAGTAAAAAGTTGCAGGAGCTGTTGAACCCCCTTCAGAAACTCAAACTCTGAATCTTGAACCTCCTCAATGCTCTGCAACTCACCAAGTAACCTAGTCCTGCTCCCCGAATCGACTTGATCATGATTTTGAGTGACACCATAGTTTTGCATAAACTAGCATCTCCTCTCTGCACCACCTTCCTACCCTCCACTTGGAACTCCATCTTCAAAGAAGACTTTCAATCCACATTCATCTCTCCCAATGTTCGCAACCACTTCATCCCAAGAATCACATATGTGCTACTCAAACCTAAAGAAGTCTCCCACCACCTGTAAGTCATGTAGTGTCAGAACCAACCTCTTGTCAATTCCTCGACTTTTCTCCACCTTTCATGTCCCCATCATGACGCCAGCACATAATGATGCCAAAGCTCTCTGTAGTCATCAGCTTCAACCATGCTTCTCCAAAACCTGATTGGAGATAATGTTGCGTGACCCTGCTATCCATCAACACCACAGTTAGTTGTTCCCTGATTCATCCCCTCACCTTCATGCAGTGATTCAGGTTAAATCTTAGAACCAAATTGAGCGACACCTCCGCCACATTCAAATGCAAATGCTTCTCCTTCGTTACTTTCTCACTCTCTGTATCCTCTTGAACTAAAAAAACATGAAGAGCGCGCTCCTTGCAATAGTGTCCTGGGGAGTATTTCTCGTCATAGGAATAACACAATCATTTTGGCTCTTTTGTCCTACAATTCTGCATTTGTGAGGCGGTTGAAATTACCTTCAAGCCGGGTCCGGTAGTCTTCTCCTTCAGAGTCTCTTTCTGAAATGACATCATTATGGATGTCGTGACTGTCACGATACTCTTGCAGAATCCCCCGATGTTGTCATATTTGTCGGTTTTCTTCATCTGTTTCTTATCCTCTATCATCTGGGCGAGATCCATCATTTCCCTCAATCCACGTGGCCTCAACGAGCGGATGGCCGCTTGTATATCGGGCTTCAGGCCATTCAAGAAGTTCCCTCCCAAGCCTGCTGCAAAAATTCCCCTCAACCTTCCTGACAAGAGCTCAAAATTTGTCGGTACTCCATAACTGTTCCCTCCTGGTCAGAGCATAGAATTGCCTGTGTAAGTTCCTTCTCGAATGGCTCGGAAACGTTCCAACAAGCAATCCTTAAACTCCTCCCACGAGTGTATCTAACACCTTGCCTCCATCCACTGGAACTAGGGCTATCAAAACGGCTCTTTGTTCGCGAATACCTCGTGTTCGACTCGAAACACTACAAATCAATTATATATATAACTTTGATGAGCAGTATTTTTAAAAAATGTAATTGACTACAATGCTACAAAGATTTACATTAAGAATATTAAATTATTAAATTAAATTCAAATGATGTTTTAAATCTTGCCCCAATCCTTAACATCTTATGGCTACGTGATTATATTCTCTTATGTCTTACGGCTAAATGATTAGGGTTGTTAAAAAGACTTTTTGTTCGTGAAATTTGAGTATTCGGCTCGTTAAGCAAATGAGCTGAACACGAACACACTTTTCGAGCTCAAAATATAAACGAACCGAACACGAGCTAAGTCTGGGCTCGCTCGTGTTCGGCTCGTTTACACCCCTAACTAGAACCACATTAAAGTCTTCCCTTCCAAGTATAATCTCGCTGTCATGAGCTTCTCTTCCTCAGTTAACCCATTGATCGTAAAGTATCGCTCTACTCGATGCACTCATCCGTGTGCATCCTCCCTTTCAAAGAATGGCATCTTCAATTTCCTGACAATCTCCACCCCAACCTCCTCTTCCTCTGGTATTTCCCCTCATGTGTTTAGGGTGGAACTCCCTCCTTCAATCATAGGCAAATCCCACTCCCGAATCCCTCATTCCTCCATCGTGCTCTTTCATACCCCTTACGCCATCCCTCCAATTTTCAACCCATCCCCTCCATCGGAAGTCTCCACTCCCCCTTCGCTCGGAGTCCTAGGGGGACGATCTTGTAGGTAGATGATGTCTTCTTCATTTCCTTCTTGCCGTTCTCATTCCCATTTGACCTAGCAAAGGATTACATGATCAACCCTTGGTAAGAATTGGCAACTGGAGCAATTGACATGGCCTTGGTTTGCTTCTCCATAAGTTTTTTCATAATCTCCTGCATTTCTCCTACGCTTTCAAATCCATCCTCCATTCGACTTTCAATGAAAGAAAACTTGTCCTCCATGTTGGTGAACTGTCTTCCATTCCTGATTTGATTTGACCTACCTCGCCTTCTAGTACAACTTTTTTACTGTCATCCCACTAAGATATATGTTCTGATACCAATTTGATATGTCTCGGCACCAAATTAGTGAACAAACCACGACGAAATTGCAATACATAGGCGAAAAAAACACAAATAAGGACTGCTCTTACAACAATCAAAGGAAAACAAGCAAGATACAAGGCCGATCTATTCTTTAAGAGGTAGATCGTCTCTTCCACACCCTAAATGTCGCTAGGAACACCACAAGAAGAAAGAAAACATCAGTCATGCATAATAATAAAACAAACCCTAGGTTTCTCCTAAATAAAATCCTCATAGAGCATTTGAAAACTTTCCTTCTAAACTTTTCTCCAACTCCTCTCAATTTATCCTCTTAAATATGTGATAATGGCCCTGGTCTACGCCTCATCTGCTCCCTCCCCTTCTTCCCGTGATAAAGGTCGGCCCGTCTGTGGGCCGGCAAGATTGTAATTGACCAGTCCCTCTTGGGCCAACTTCATACTGGGCGCAACAGTTATCCTGTAGACTCTTTGATTTAGGCATTTCAAATCCAAAAATAGAAAACTTATAATAAATTATGTTATGCAAATTTTTACTCATATACATTTGTTATAATTTTGAACATATCACAATAGCAATCATTTCTTTCTCAACCTCCTTGAGTGCTTTATTGCTCAGATGCAACACTAGGGTGCTATAAACTAACTTCATGATCTCTGATTTTTTTATGTGCATCGTATTTGCATTGAAATAATTTAACAAATTATTCTCTCCTTCTAAAGCCTTAACTATTTTCATTTAAACTTAAACAAATTTCCATCATTTCCTTTAGATTGATAAACTAGACTTTCCATTAACCTTTCATTTTTAACCTTGGAAACACCCATCGTACCTATGCTCTAATACTAGTTTGTTAAAATTATCTTATCCAATAAATCAAAACTTTCTCAAATGATTTGAAGCTAAAAAGATTTCCCATCGAGCGAGAGTCCAAGAGTAATGAAAAGTACGGTGAGGGGAGAAGAATTGCAACTTCCTTGCCAAGTGAAGAAGAAGCAAAGTCAAGGAGTAGATTGTATGAGTTCAGGGTTGATGAGCTACTGAGGTCAAGCAAGGAGAACCACAATACAAAGTTTTTTTTTCTCTCTTTTTTCCAGCAAAGCAAGTATTTTTTATCCTTAAAATAGTAGATCTTTATATTTGAACAAATCAACTAGAAAGTCTCTAATATCAGATCATGTAAAGATTCTGAGGAAAGAATAAATTCAACAGTGCTGCCATTACTGTCGTTGGATGGAGCCTAAGGCATATATTATGTGCTTCTCTGAGCCCAAGTTTTGGTGGGGCATATAGGTTTACCTGTAAATTTTGATATAGAATTAACTTTTTGTTACTTTTTATATTAGAGTAAAGTTCTAATTTGGTTAACTTCAATTATTTTAATTTTGATGATATTGGTTAGGCATCACCCTCATTTCTCACTAAAAAAAAATCTAAAAATGTAAATGAAAATTACAAGAAAAATCAATACAGTATTAAGATTTTCAGGTTTTAGGAAGAAGAAAGTCATGCGTGCATATGGTAAGTCTTCAAAAACTGGAGACACAAATCTTTAGTATAATTTTATTGAATTAAAATAGAATCAACAGAACATTTTTAAACGAAGTAAAGATCAGTCAAACGAATGATAAAATAAAGGTCAACTAAAGAACGAACCGAAGTATCTGCTCTCGTTGGCGGCCTTGGCCTTTTCAAGCATCTTGTCAAGATCTTCCCTGAGCTTCTCATCATACTTAACGAGTTGGTTCACGAAGATGGCGCCGAGCCCCATTCCAAGCACGTGCTCCCAAGGATCTGGTCGATCAGAAATTACACCGACAAATCTCAATTAGCTATTTTTCGAAAGAGAACTCGATGGCAGTCAGAAGGAATTAGGGTTAGGGATCTGGGAAGAAAGTACGCCTCATGTATGGGAGCTTGCGGAGGGCATTGGAGTACATCTGGGTACCAAGACCGAGCAGCGCACCCACCAATGTCGACGTCGCCGGCATTTTCCACCACCGCCTCCTCAACTTAACGTTCTCTCACGAAATTTCCACCCAATCCTCGGTCTCCTTAATGAGTTATGGGAGGACTGGCACAGCTGATAAATTAAACAGGTGGAGGTCAATTAGGGTTACTATTCAAATTTGAGTGGTCATGGTTGGCCTCAAATTTAATTGCTAATTTATATAAAAGATTGTGGTATTTACAAACAGATCACATAATTATTAAGTGTTTATGTTTCTACTATCTGGACATTCATATTTACATACATAATATTTATCATCAACATCACATAAATGAAACCACAACTATGATCTTTTGAAACGTGCAATGCATTTTTTTCTGCATAAATTTGTAACATCGGGTTATCGTAAAGTGTAAATATCACACTTTTTGTGTTAAGTACCTATATACATCATATTTATATGGTAAATATGTAAATATGCAAAAAAAAAAGGGAATTTATATATATAATATATTTGTTGAACTCAAATTTATTCTTGAATCACATTCAAATAATAGTGTGTGACTGAAGAAAGAGAAAGATAATGCTTTGAAGAATGAGCGAGAAAATAGGTGTTGGTATTCCGACTTCCTTTTTTTCTTGGACAAAAGGTCTTCTATTACATTTGATTTTCATATTTATAGTGGATGGGCCTCGCAAAGAGGTGTAATTGGGTTTTTCTCACCAAAACCATAGTTGGATTTCCAACTTCCACACCTTTCACGTCATAACTCCTGATATTCAGAGAAGTCGCTCTTTTTTGGAGCCAAAGAAATATCAAGATGAGTCATCGACCTAGGGCGGGCACCTTTTAATATCTGATTGTTAGACCGCCCACTTATTCCGGATCTTTACTTTGAAAGTTTAATCACTAGTTTGCCAATATTGGCCACTCGACCTAGGGTGTTCAGCCTCGGTTACTTTGTATCAGTCAGTCGACCTCGACCGTTTCGATTGTCTTGTAGTTGTGCATGGCGACCTGTTGTTGTTGTCTGACTGGGGTGGCTTTCATCAGTCTATGTGTTCTAAATTGTCAGATTTATGACGCATGGACAAACGTTTTTTAGCTATATATATTTAGTACCTCGACTTAGAGCTGTGATGCAACGTGAACAAGAAAATTAAATACTAATTATTACTTTTGAATAATAAATAAATGCTTATAATGTAACCATTACCTTAGATTCTGTGCCTCTAGCTATTTTAAGTAGAGTGGTGAAACATTTCTTAATCCCATTTAATTGAGCTCTCAGGATTCTTCCCATGTGCTCTAAAACTTTCAGCAGATCAATGTCTCGCCTAATAAATCTAAGATGGATGTGAGTCTTCTTGTTCCTATCTTAGTATAGTCAATTAAAATCATTTATAATAAGAAATATTTAGAGTTCACTGGTTGTACTATGCCCTGAAACTTTAAGTTGTTCAATGTATTGTCTATTAAGTATAAGATGGGTATAAGTTATCGTGCTTCTTATCTTAGTGTAGCTATTGAAAACCAAAAATCAAACCTTAACATTTCTTATTCTAGTCATTGATCGTATTGCGCCCCAAAATGCTCAGAAGGTCAATGTCTTGCCTAGTAAATCTAAGATGAGTATGAGTTATCGTGCTTCCCATCTTAGTGTAGTCATTAAAAAACATAGAGAATAAGAAATTTTTAGGGTTCATTGGTTCTACTATCCCCAAAATGCTTAGTAGACCAATGCCTTTCCTAGTAAATCTACGATGTGTGTGAGTCTCTGTGCTTCCTGTCTTAGCAAGTGTAGCAAGTGCAGTTACTGAAAACCTAAAATCAAAACTTAGTATTTTTCTATTTTTGTTCATGATTGTATTATGCTCTGAATTGCTTAATTGGTTAATGTCTTTCCTAGCAAATCTAAAATGGGTGTAAGTTCTCGTGCTTTTGCTTAATGTAGTCATTGCAAATATAGAGAATAAGAAATGTTTAGGGTACATTGGTCATACTGTGCCTCAAAATGCTCAGTAGGTCAATGACTTGCATAGTACATCAAAGATGAGTGTGAGTCCTCGTGCTTCTTGTTTTAGTATAGTCATTGAAAAGCCAAAATCAAATCTTAACATTTTCTTATTCTGATTCATTGATTATATTATACCCTGAAATACTCAGTAGAACAATGTATTGTTTAGTACACCTAAGATGGTTGTAAATCCCCATGCTTTCTATCTTAATGTAGTTATTGAAAATCATAGAAAATAGAAAATGATTAGGGTTCATAATTGTATTATACCCCAAAACACCCAGAAGGCCAATGCCTTACATAGTAAATCTAATATGGGTGTGAGTCAATATGCTTCATGTCTTAGTGTAGTCATTGAACACTCAAATCTAAAACACAAATTGAAAAAAATTTAGGTATGTAGGACACGAAGCTTAACTACATCATTCTTATACTTTTTTACCTTAAAGACACGGAACATAACAACACCATCTTTAGACCTTTTTCACAAATCGAGTTAGTTTTTAGCATTTTTTTTCTTTGCTACACCATTATTGGATTGCTCTAGTTGCCATTCTAAGTCATGTGTAAGCTCTCCAACAACTTCCTTTCCTAAAATTCTAAATTAATTTTCTTAGCAAACATTTTCATAGATGCTCAATGTAAGCATTTAATGGATCATATCGATAAGAAACACTAAAGTTCATAAATCTTGAACTTCAAATTAAAGTTTCAATTCTAATTCATAAATTCAAAATTCAAACTCATAGTTGTGATGCACTTATTCTTAGACTTGGTTGGTCGCTTCGGTTAATACTAATATGTGCATCATACTTTGAATGGTACGTCACACATATTAGGGTACATTTGTTAACCTCACTTTTTGGACAACCATTCACCTAAGCTTTATACTATCTCATACGAACCTGAAACCCTTTCTTTGTGACACTAGATGACTAAACTGAACTTTGATAAGCTAGAACTTAAACCCTACTTTAACTAAAATTCGAGCCAACCCTTATTTGAATCTAAAACTGGAATATAATTAAAGAGAATATGAAATTAACCAAACTAAAATGGAATCAAAAGTAACTAATTTCAATCGAGCCCTGAAATTGAATTAAAATTGGCTTAACCTAAATACACCCCCAAATTATCATTTTTATCAGAGTTTTCATGCATGAAAATGCACCTACATATTTTTTTTTTATCAAAGCATTTTTTTCAAAGAGTGCATGAGTGCATCCAGATCATGAAACCTTTAAAATGAGCCCCTTCATGCTTAAATCAGACTTTATTTGGGGGTATGTCAAGACCACAATAATTTAAATGATAAGTATAATAATGATTATAATAATCATAATAATAATCATGAAAACACCTCTAATTGGAGCCAAATCAACATCAAACTCATATTAAAGTAAATTTGAGTTAAAAATAATAAATGCATGGGGTAATTACATACAAGAAGCCCAAAACTTGCTATTTACAAATCAATTACTCTCTTCCATCCATTTTTCAAATTCACGCTCAAATATCAAAATTCATGGTGAAACCCCGGCCCTTATTCTTCATTTTTATAAAATTCACAATAATTTGATCGTGATATGCATAAAGACATCAATTCGGTAGTTCAAAAAATCACATGAGTGGTTAATTTGTGAATATCAATGTTTTGAGTGTTTTTTATGTAATTATGCTTAATTTAATCAATTAAAACTCATTAAACACTTTCATCTAAAATCTATAAATAATTTCTCTCTTAGGGTGAGACCCAAACCAAAATCAACTTCCAGAGTGCTTTCCCCTCTTTTTTTTATCCAAATGAGATAAGGTTATATTTTTTCCCATAATTACCCATAACTACCATAATTTTCCCAATATAACTTTGAATTAAAAATCTTGAGATAGGGGTCATTTTAACCAAAACTGACTTCCCAATTGTATTCCCCAAATTTTTGTCATCCAAAAAAGCCAAGGTGGTGATTTTGGGCCAAGAACCACCTTAACCACTCATTTTTTAATTTCCGTCTCATTTCTTTCTTCCCCCATGTTTTTGGCCAAAAATTAAAAATTCTCCCCCACTTTAAAAATTTTTAAACTCTCTCCCTTTCTCTCATTCTTTTCTTTTGTCAAAAAATCTGTTCTCCCTATCCTCTCTTCGCCTTTGTTGAAACCTTAGCTAAAATCACTCCCTTCCCTCTCCTTCTTCTGGCTCTTGGCCAAAACTCTAAGGACCTCCCTTCATCTCTTCATCCAAGCAAGCAAGGACGAAGGACTTCAATCATCACTCCATTAAAACAAAGTAAGGTATAATTTTTTGTCCTCATTCACATCTAATTTACTTTGTAAGCACATGTTTGAATTTCCTTATTATGAAGACAGTAATGTGAATCTCTCCCTCTCTCTTTCTCCCATAGGCAAAAGTCATTTTATCTCTACCTCTCTTTCTCTCTTTAACCAATACCATACACCCATACACACTCTTTCCTCTTTCTTTCATGGTCAAAACTCACTATCTCTCTCCCTTTCTCTCTTCCATGGTCAACACACATAGCGGTACACACTATTTCTTCATCTTTCTCTTCTTCTTTCTCCTCCTCTTTCTCCCATAGCCAAATCACACCATACACACACCCTTTCTCTCTCTTTCTCATATACCCAAACCAGGCACTCACATACACCCTTTCTCTCTCTTTCTCCCATGGCCAAACCGCACACTCCCCACTTTCTCCCATGACCGAACCACGCACTCACACACACCCTTTCTCCCTCTTTCTTCCTTAAGCCAAAAACTATCATACACACAACCTGGGCATTTAGACAGCCAACAACAACAACATCACTTGCGACAATGACCACGACGATCGTTGGATCACTACACACCTAGCAGTGAGAGATATCGCCTAGACAACGTCGTAGGTGGTAGTACGACATGTGTTCTACTCATTTTGTATTTTTTTTTTCCATTCTGATGTACATCTTCTTAGACTATATCTTTAATAGCGATTTTTTATTTACCATTTTCATTTTTTTTATCGTGCATTCTTAATATTTTTCTTCTTGCCTTGATAAATACAAGAAAAATATTAAATTAATGAAATAACAATAATAGATATAATAAAAGTGATATTAATAG